GAGCCGGGGGCGCCGGAGCTCGGGCGGCGGGGCTGCCTGGCTGGCTGGCCGGGGTGTGCGGCCAGAGCGTGGGACTGCCTGTCCCGGGCTGCAAGTTGCCCCTCTCCGGCCGCCTGCTGTTGCAGCTTGTCCCCAGGCCCGGGCCCCTTTTAGCCTGGCTTGGCGGCCCCGCCGCCCCCCGGGCGGGACACCGGCGTCCCAGCCAGCTCCTCCGTGACTGGAGACCCGCCGGGCAGAGTCGCTGCGAGGACAGGCCAAAGCCTTCCGGGGCCTCGGGCCCGGGGACCCGAGGAGGATGAGCTGGCTCCTTCCCCTGACCAAGAGCGCCTCCTCCGCAGCTGGGTCCCCCGGTGGCCTCACCAGTCTCCAGCAGCAGAAGCAGCGCCTGATCGAGTCCCTCCGGAACTCCCACTCCAGGTGAGTGGCCGCTGCCTCGGGACGGGCGGAGGAAGGAGGCCGGGAAGGGAGGAGGCCGGGACGGAGGCCAGGCTCAGTCCGACACCCAGCTGCTGCCTCGTTTCGGTGTCCCTCCCTCGTTCTGGGTCACACGCTTCTCCCCCACTCCCGCCGGGGTTAACGTCTTTCCTCCCGAGCCTGCCTGCCCTGATCTCTTCCAGGTCTGACTTGCTTATCCCTCTTGACACGTCGCTGCTGACTAATCGCTCTCGCAGCACCCAGTATCCCCCTGGCTTCCCCGGCTCCTCACTGTTTTCCTTTGCCCACCTGATTGTCATTTGGGCAGAATTGTTAAACTACTGTATTTGGTTAAAGAGAACCGAGAGGCGTTGCTTCCCTGTGTCACAAGGAGTGGAATACGAAACTCACATCCAAGGAAGGCAAGCCCAAGTTTTCATCAGTCAGTTCTCATCCGAGAGCGACGTAGTCAGTCCTCTGGAGTCTCTAATCTAAGATTTACTCTGTTCCAACAACTTCTCCCATCTCGCCTCTTCCAGTGTCTGCATTTCTCACTTTGATATTTTGGGCCCCACACTCAGGGATGGCCTTATATGTAGCATGATCTGTTGTATTCCTTTGAGTTTTTAATTTTATCATGATCAGAAATATGTTGCATGGGACCAGCAGTTAGTGTAATGGCTATGTCACTGACCTCCCATGTTGTCGACTGCGGTTCGGGTCCCGGATCCGGTGGCTTAAACTCATGCCGGGTGCGTGTGCGTGCATGCCCAAGATCCCCAGAGGAGAATGGAGGAGAAGGGATTGCGGAGTGGCCATCCCCCCTGGGGGGGGGATTTCTCGCTTTCTGTCTCTCTTGCTGGCAAGCGCACCCGCCCTATAGCAAAAACCTCTCCCCCCCCCCCAAAAAAAGATGTTGCAGTTCAAATTATTTCATCTGTTTTTACTGTAAGCCGGTTTGTGCAGCCTTTAACATTTGGACCCGAAAGGCTGTGGCCTCTATAAGCCGGTTTGTGCAGCCTTTAACATTTGGACCCGAAAGGCTGTGGCCTCTAATGGTTTTCAAGTACAAGAACTGCTTTATATTATATGGATTTTGCTAATTATTTGTTTACTTGCTTAACATGTTTCATGTAAAGATGTCAGTGTCCTTAAATCCTAATAAAATTAAGTAATCCCTATTGAACAAACTATTAGAGACTATTTCGTGTGTTATTATTTTTTTTTTTTGGAGAAGTTTTTGCTATAGGGTGTGTGCGCTCGCCAGAAAGACAGAGACAGAGAGAGAAAGCAAGAAATCACCCCCCAGGGGGGATAGCCACGCTGCAGTCCCTTGTCCTCCGTTTTCTTGGCATCTTGGGCACACACACATGTATGCTCAGGGTGAGCTTAAGCCACCAGGTCTGGGACTCGAACCTCAATTGACTATATGGGAGTCCAGTGACACAGCCTTTACTCCAACTGCTGGTCTTGGTGTGTTATTCTTTAATAATTTTTTCCAGCCAGGTAAATTATAATATAGAATCTTTTAAAATGAGATACATTTGTTGTTAAAAGAAAAATTCCCTGTAGAAACCATTTGGCTAAAGTGATTTGTGGTGCTAACTGAACTTCAGGTGTTTCTTGTTCTATTTATTTTTTGTCTTTTGTCACGATTGTTTTATTTGTTCAAAACTCTCAAAAAATTAAAATTTGTGATATTTACCAGAAAATAGTAACAGGCTGTTATTTGTGGCTTTCATTTTGGAAAATTACATTAACAAAGTTCTTACAAGTTAAGCTCGCTCTAGTGGTGTTCTGTACTAAGCTGTAAAAGCTACTCTTAAAAGATATGCTTATAAAATAAGGTGGCTTAATTTTAGCAATCATAAAGAAAAAGTTTGTCCCTTTAGTAGTTGTTACCTCCGGGTCCATCCCTGAAGCTGAAGTCATTTAAGAAGGGCTCAGGTTCAGATCCTGGGTGGACCTGGACATACCTGGCAGGCCTGTGGGTGCCTGTGGGCCTGAAAAGGGCTGAAAGAGGGCGAGGATCTGGAATCGATGAGACCCAGTCAAGGTGTCCCTCCCCATGAAATAAATAAATAAACTTTAGCAAGTTATTCCCTAGAAGGCTATACAATATACTGTATTAGTGCTACCACTGCAGAAACGCTTGTTAGAACCACACATTTAGAATTAATTCCTTTTAATATATTCTGTTAAATATTCTGTGTTGGCAAATTTTTCTTCTTTGATGTTGAATTTTTGGAGACCAAAGTCCCTTGCTGTTGTAAAAGGGCCAATACTCCTAAAACAAAATACAGGTTAACAAGAGGAAAACATAACAAATTTATTTGTTATGATCTAATGGTAGCCCAAGGAGGGAATCTCAGCATGACTGTACTGAGCCTCCTTGGCCTCTCAGTGTAGTATTCTTTCACTGTCCCCCTACCTCAACCCCCTACCAGGGCAGGGCCCCTCTGGAATGAGGGTCTTCAAAGGCGAAGGGAGAGAGAGTAATATTTTGGGGGTTTGTGGCTGGCATTGGGGGAAGAAAGGTTCCATGGCAGTTTCCTTGCTTTAGGGAGAATTCTAGTTTCGATGACTATGCTTCAGGGGAGAGAGAGGGGCTGCAGACAGGAGATTAGCTAGAGACTATTTCAGAGCTGCTTCTGAGGGCTTCCAATCTCCTTTAGTTCAAGGACTGAGGCTAGTAAATAAGGGAAGTAATTGATCTGAAGTGGATTTTCCACCTACCAAGTAAAGTGGAACTTTAAAGCAGGAATTGCTCATCAAAGTAGTTTTAGAATTGTTTAAAAAAAAAAAAAAAGCAGTAAGTACCCTGAATTGAATGCAGAAAGAATACACGGGATACGTTATTTTTTGAATCAGTAATTATGGACATGTAATTGGACATGTGGCATTATCTATATATTTTGTAGTGTTGTGAATATATAGTTTAATTATTTGATTCCAGACAGAGAGACAGAAAGCAAGAAATCCACCCCCTGGGGGGATGGCCATGCTTCAGTCCCTTCTTCTCCATTCTTCTCTTGGGATTTTGGCCATACATGTACACGGCATGAGTTTTAAGCCGCCAGGTCCGGGACTTGAACCACAGTGGACTATGTGAGAGTCCAGCGATGTAATCATGCCATCTGCCATCCCCTACAAGCGATTTTTAAAAAATACTGAAGTTTTATTTAATTGTAGTATTTCACATTTACAGATTAAATTTGTGTAATTCTGGAGACATGTAAGTAGGTCAGGTGCTTCCACTTTTCAAAGAATGGTACAATCCCAGGAAAAATTCCATCCACCTATCTTTATAGACTATACCTTATTGTTAATGACATGCAGTATCGGACAATATGTTGCTTAATCAAGAAATTACGCAATCTAAAGATTTTTGTGCAGATAACTTGATTATTCGGGCGGTGTGCTCTGTAAAGGCTGAATGCTTCAATTTTTTAATGAATAACACAAAAACTTGCTATACTATGACTTTTAATATCTTGTCGCATGGTGCCCACCTCTCACGTTGAATGTTCTCTTTTCCAAACTAATTGCTCCTTCCTGCCATAAAAATAACTGATGTCCTTTTCTTCTGCCCTGAATATTCTTTCCCTCCCTCACTCTCATCTCTTAACTTCTTTACCTCTTTATAACTCTGAAAATTCATTTCTGCAAAGAGTCTCTTTTAAGTTCCTTTTCCTAATGAGTGTAAATGCCATTTCAGCTACTTTAATAAATGTTTGCTCATCTTCCTCCAATCTCTACAAAAGATTAGGTGAATTTAACATGTATTTTCTTGTTTAAGTTTAACTGGTGTGCAGCATACCAAAGTGACCTGTCTAAATGACCCCCTCAAAGTGTTTAACCGAGGTATAACAACATGTTTAAGTTGGCAATGAAAATGGAGACTCATTAATATATTCCATCAAGTAATACATTCCATCTTCCGAGTAACAATGATCACAATATTTACTTTACAGCTGAAATTCGTGATTATGTGTGTAATAGGAGGGCTGATTCTGCTGTTTCTTCTATTCCTGAAGAAGCTCACCTTACAGGACACTTGTTAGTTTCCCACCCAAATGCATTTTTCCCTGACCTTTAGAACACCTGTTTTTATGTTTTTTCCTCCTCTGCATGGCTGCATATTTAATGGAGCCTGGCCTATTTCAAACCCAGAAGGTGAATAATGATAGTTTATACCTTCATTCCCGCCCCTCTCCCAGTTATTGTAGAAGCTGGACTCCTGACTTAATTGCAGTTAATGAGCTTTGGAGGGAAAGTCTACTGGCAAGCTGCTAAATCCATTTTCTCAGTAATAGAAAGGGGCGTCCGGGAGGATAAGCTGTCTTGTAAGAAGAAATGGTTGTTTTAGATGTTGTAGTACGTGGGACACCTGGAACTGCTTGGATTGTGAACAAAGAGGAGGCTGACTACTGACTGGTAGAAGGAAAGAAGGAACAACCATGATAATGGCACGTCGCTGAATTAACCAACTGTGAAGCCCCCTGCCTCTCTACTACTTCATGCTTAAGACGAATAACTCCTCGTCACTGAAGTAATTTACACCTTGGTTTTCAGCTACTTGCAGTTGAAAATATTCCAAGCAAAACACTTTCTAGTCCTCAATTTTTTTTAGAAGTATAATTGTTGGGCAAGCAGGTGGTATGTTGGTTAGGGTGCTCCACTCCTACATGGCCGACCATGGTTTGAGTCCCAGACCTGGTGACTTGCTTTCTCACTTTCTCTCTCTGTCTCTCGTGAGCTCCCATGCCCTATAGCAAATAATGAAATTATTATTATATAAGAAATAAGGGAACCAGCAGTTAGCGTAATGGCTATGTCGCTGGACTCCCATGTACTCGACCGCGGTTTGCGTCCCGGACCTGGTGACTTAAAACTCACGCCGGGCACGTGCACGTGCGTGTCCAAGATCCTGAGAGGAGAATGGAGGAGAACGGATTGCGGTGTGACCATCCCCCTGGGGGGGTGATTTCTCGCTTTCTGTC